GGATTTTGTGGCTTGTGGGGCAATTTTTTTTTCTGGTGGGGCTGAAGTTCTTGGTGCAGAAAGAAAAGCCATTTAGCCAGTAGAAAGCTGTGACCAGGATAGATCTCTAAACTGCAAGCTGTCAGCCACCTTAGATGACTGTTTGCAGTTGCTGCAAGTTAATCACTTCTGCCAGCAGGTGGGGTTGATGACTTTTATAGTCAAGAAAGATAACAGGCAGAAAAACTCTCTTAAAGGAGACAAGTTTTGACACAGAGTTAGAAGGGATCATAGAGGTCACCTACTCCAACCCCCTTGGCTCAGTGTGGGAATTAGTCAACTGCAACACCCCACTCTGCTTCAAGGAGTGCACACCTTTTTAAAAAATGTTTTAAAATGATTGAAAAAGGCATGTACAGGAGAAATTCTTGTGGGGCTGTGTCTTTAAGAAAGGGGGTGGAGCCCCCAAAAGCCCCACCATAGCTATGGGCCTGGGTAGAATTTAAGAAATATTGGAAAGGCAAGGTTGTATCAGAATGGATTTAAGGGGATCTGTTGATTCCTCAAAAATGATCCAAACTCCTGCACATCCCTAGTAGTTTAATATTGGTGGGGATAGCAAAGCTTGACCCAGCTGCCCTGGACCTGTAGGGGAAAGAAGGCCCACAGTTGTAGGGTGGTGACTAAGGATGCCTTTGTATGTACTGCTGCTGATGGATGTGATGTGATAGTTGGAAAGAAATCCTTATCAACAGTCCCTAATAACCTCTGTTTTCTGACAACCTCTTTGGCAGGTTTTGAGAATGATGACATCCGCGATGATATTGAGTGTGCTAAAAGGATTGTTCGTGATCCCAACAGGATGGGTGCCTGGTGAGTCCATCTTCATTCAGCATCTTTGGGTATCAGGATGATACCAATTCTAAAACCAAACTCTCTCACATTAGAACACTTATTTATAAGGGCTCTTGGAAGAGACTGTGACCGATTTCCTACAAGCCGCTGCTCCACCCTCACTCTTCCCTTTGCCCCGATCGTATGTGTCAATTTCCCACTATTTGCTGTGCAGACGCATTTTGCCCCGCAGCTTCGCCTGATTTCCCCCCGCATCTACTTGATCCTGTTTTTTGAGGCTCGAGTAGACGTGGGGGAAAATTGGGCAAAGCTGTGGGGCAAAATGCGGCCGTGCAGCAAATAGTGGGAAATTGACACATACGATCGGGGCAAAGGGAAGAGCGAGGGCGGAGCAGCGGCTTGTGGGAAATCGGTCTGGTTTTTCTGGATCCAGTTCAATACAGCTTCAGACTGGGGTTTGGGACAGAGACTGCTCTAATTGCCTCAGTTGAGGATGCCTATCAATAACTAGAGAGCGGGGATGTGACCCTTCTAGTTCTGCTCCTCTTGAAAAGCCAGGCTCACAGCTTGGAAGTACTGCCCAACACAGCCGTCTCCTTTGAAAAATCAGGTGGCTGAGGTAGTTCAGAGTGCTTTTGTCCAGCTTCGACTACTGCGTCAACTGCTCCATTCCGGGGTCAGTCTGATCTAGCAGCGGTGATCCACTCTTTAGTTACATGCAGACTGGACTGTTGCAATGCCACCCTTGAAGAGTGTTTGGAGGCTGCAGCTAGGTCAGAACGCTGCAGCTGCACTGCTGTCCAGGGCCAGCTATCAGGAGCACCATGACCCCAACATTACAGCAATTACACTGGCTACTGATCTACTCCTGAGCCCAATTCAGGATATTGATTTTGACCTTTAAAGCCCCACGTGGCTTGAGATCAGGTTATTTGAGCAACTGTCTACTCCCATATCTTCCTGCTCGGGAATTAAGATCACAGGGAGAAGTCCTCCTGACTGTCCCATCTATCAAATAAATTTGTTTGGTGGGTACACAAGAGAAACCCTTTTCACCGGAAGCCCCACAATTATGGAATAAACCTCCCTAGGGAGGTGTGCCTGCCCGTCCCCTTTTGGTCTTCAGGAGGCAGTTGAAGATGGTTTCATTTTGGACTGCATTTGGTTCAGTTCAGGAGCAGTCCCGAGCAGTGATTTTAAAGTTTTATGTTTTTAACATTATTTTAATCTACGTGTTTTATCTAAGTTTGTAAGCTGCCTTGAGCTCTGTAAGGAAGAAAGGCAGCTAATAAACATTTTAAATAAATGAATGAATATA